AACAGGTTTGATCTTTGTTACAAAAAGGATTTATTTTTGAGAATCTGACTTGTTCCTTAAGCCATATTAAATATTTCTAGAGATTTCCCATGTGCTTTGCGAAAAGTTTGAGAACTGTCTATTTAGACCAATACTAAAGGCAAAGTTTTGAGATAACTGGGGCTCATACTGGGGAGGTCCTAGTGACTATGCCAACTATGAAATCTTTTTAAGTACTTGCAGATAAAAGCAAGGAAAGAGTAATTCTGTAACTCAGTGCGAGCAGAATCTGATATAGGGGCAGGAAGTACTAAAGGAGGAATTGTTCTGACCCTTCATTTGCAGTGAGAAAGAAAATAGGTGTGCAGGGTAGGCTATTACCTTTGCAGGATCTTTCGCCATGCTTGGCAGATAGCTGTCTAGGTGCAGTTAATCCTGCTTATTGACAGTGGGATGAAGCGGCTTGACCTCTCTAAGGTGCTCCCGTCTCTGTTTTCTGTGAGTTTATAAAACCTTAAGGGAGAAGAAAGTTTGTTACAGAACAGTACCTTTGCTTACATGGTCTGCTCCAGCTTCATTCTTATCACAGCCTTCAAAACATTGTAGTCTTGGAATATTTTTTTGGTCAAACTTTATTTTACTAATATGGAGGGGATACAGTGTTTAACTAAAATGTTATTATGTCTAGGCCATGTAAAAATTGCAATTTAATGAAGGATGAAATAATTTTTCATTAATTCACTAACTTTTTTCCTTTTTTTAAAAAAAAGTTCTTAAAGGTGATGTAAAATTTTCATGAGCCATTGCTGAGATGGAAGAACGCTTTGTGTCAGACTAGTAATGTAAAAGACTAGTCCTTGTCGGAGGCTGACTGTCCTTTTTTTTTACTTTTTAGAGAAGGATAAGTAAGAACAGAAATAAACGTGGTGAATATTGCTCCTAAATCTTTTTAGATCACATTTTCAAGTAATTTTGATACGTAGACTGGTGTACAAGACAAGTAGATAGAAATGCCAGGACAGCAAAACACTGAAGCACATGAATTTCTGTATGAATTGACTTGAGTCAAGGAAGATTGCTATGGCCTGATCTTTTCATTAAAAACCGTTGTGAAGCAACTTTATTCATCATGAGGATGAAGCAGACTATCAACAGACTCCTAGTAAGTCTAACATGCCTCTGGGGAAATGGAATAGGGAATGTACAATGAATGGTGTAGCTGTGACTCGGGACATAAAATATATTACTCATTAGCTAGGCAAGCCTTTGTTTTTGGTTTTGTTTTTTTTGCATTGTGCAATAACTGCTGAGGTTTTTGAGGGCAGACTTTTTGATGTGTAGGGTGTTTGATAATGAAAGCCAAGAGCTTTGTTATCAAACCTCTTATAACCTCTGCTTATAGGGTTACACAGCACCAAGCATTTGATCCAACTAATTAATTTCTTCTGGGATATTTTTGGTGTGCTTTTGGTGACTTTTTACCTGAACATAAAATGAGTGGTTTCTGATGGTTTGCTTTCTTGGAGGGAGGGGATGGTATTTAGTGATTGCTCTGCAATGATCTGTCCTTCTGAAAATGTGACGTAGCTCTGTCACTGGAGTTGCTTGTGAACTTGAGATTGGCTCAGGTTTAGATAGAATTTTTTCTTGTTTACTTTGAACGTTTAATAGTATTTGGTTTCCATTGTGCCATTTCTTTTGTATAATTGTTCTCTTTGTTGATTGTATGCAGCTTTGTGAATCAGCTTTGTATTTTAAATTGCATGTATGTTTTCAGTGGCTGTGTTAAGTTGATGAGGTTTCAAGTTGATGGTTGTAAAATAATAATGTAGGAAATCATACTTTTTTTTTCCCCCCACACGTAATTAATCCTCCTGCCCTTATTTTTGGAGCATAGTCTGAGACTGTGGCTTCATGTTATTGTCATTACTTCAGGAAGGCTTTCTAGTGGTATTCATCTTTACTCATGGTTGCTTGTTCCCTCACTTCAGCTTACTCAGTGTCTTGATAGAGCAGTTTGCCAAACCACAGGTTATACAGCTTCAGTAAAATGACTGCCTAAAAGCTGAAGACTTTTTGAGGCATTTTTTCTTAAACCCTGGTCGTCTCAATAATCCAATTTAAAGCTGTTTTCAGGGCTGTGATCTGTCAGGAGCATAGCCAGTGAGGTAGCAGAGGACTGAAGGGGAAGGGACCTCTTAAAGCCACTTTCATTTGGATGAACTGTAATCAACCACAACGTGGAGTGTCTGCAGCATGAGCCTTTGGCCCTGCTTGCTCTCTAGGTGTGAAGTGGAAGTTACCTGCCACGGTTATAGAGAAACGTCAAGAGATGTTGTTTGTTTGGGCAATGCATGCCACTATTGCCACAAAGAGAGGTAGAAAACCTGAAAAGTTGACGTGGTGATTCATTTCGTGGCCCTCCTGATTTGTCCTTACACCTGTTAGCTTGACTAGTAAGTGTCTGCTGATGTCTTAGAAATAGTGTCGTAGGTCTTTCCCATTCGTTCTTAAAATCAATGGTGTGCAGCAAAATCCAAAGCATCTGCCTGTTTTTGTCTTGTATTTGGACATGAAGGATGCTTACTTATTAGTACCTGTCTGAGCTTGTGATGTATTGTATTTAACTTGGATTTCTTAGATTCTGAGATGTTATAGTAATCAAAATAATACTTCTCTGGTGTGATGACTTTTCTACTGCCTGGGAAGTAAATTAAACTATTTTGTGCAGTTAAGTGCGGAGCTTAGTAGCTGTTGCCTCCTGATGGTTCATCAAAAAAACCAACCCCAAAACCTACAAACAAACCACCATTTTATTTTGTTATATTGAAACATGAATTACAAATTCTTAGAAAGCAAATAGAACGTAAGATGAATCTTCTCAGTTATATGATTGTGTTGGTTAACTTTTCCTGTCTTTTGTTTCCTTGTAATGTAAAAAAATTGCAGTATTAAAGTGTTAAATTGTATATGTTGTTCAATTGTCCTACTCAGGCATAAATTAAAGCTTCTAAAGGTTACTTATCTAGTAAATTCTGCATACAATTATCTGTAGGATTGCTGGCCTTTCTTAAACATGAACAGCTTTCTCTTTCACTTCGGAGAGCGAGCGAGACCATCTGGCCTTGTCGAAAAAACCATCCTGAGATTTTATTTTAGCACTTAGCCTTGTTATCTATTAAGTAGTTTGTTTGCATTTCTTTCTATTTTTCATCATTTTTACTGTTGTATAGAAAATCAGTTTATAGAAATGCTTAACACTTCTTTTTGCTAATGGGAATTTTATCAGTCGTTGTGTCAAAGAAGTGTTAGTATTTTTTTACTTTGAGCAAGTCTTGTGTTTTACTTAGTACTGAACTGACAGTTCAGGGCTGTCCTGAAAAATTCAGATATACTTTAAAAATAAAAGGTTTAGTGTTTTCATATAAAGAAAACTAAGGTAAATGTCTAACTGCGGTTTTACAAATCCCTCATTAGCTATCTGTCACCTTACTGGTATTTTTCAAATACAACTTAGTTATACAGCCAGTGTGATAGAGGTGTGTGTGGAATCATGATCTTCTGCCAATTTGCTGGAGGCTTACATTATTTTTTTTTTTTTAAAGGGAGGGATTTTATTGTTCTGGACATTTCTGTTGTGGAAGTGTCACTGTCATGTAAAGTTTTCTGATGAGTTTTAATTCCTTCAATTAATAGAATAATTCCTTCAATTAATAGAGAGATTATGAATTGCCTTGTCCATTTTAATGCAAGTAGGTAGAAAATATCTTGAAATAGTGTTTGGTTTTTTTTCTCTTGTTTTTTTTTTGTTGTCATTTTTTCCTACTCCAAAAAACTGTTTTCAGCTAAAGTGGAGGAAAAGAATAGAGGGTAGAAATGCAGATATGTTCTTGCATGTTGGAAGGGTAATATTTAAATCTTTATTATATGGAGTGAGGAGTGTGTATAAACTGTAGAGGCTCAGAAGGAATTTTGAGTATGCAAACATGTATTTTTGGATTTAGCTGAACAGTTGAACTTATATACTTCTACTGGCATTTTAATTTATCTGTGTGTATTGGCCATAAAAGTGGGCCAATATTGGAACAGTTTGCCCAGAAATGTTGTGGAATGCCCATCCTTCAGCTGGAGCTTACCTGAGCAACCTGATCTAATCAGAGCTGCTTTTAGCAGCATTTGGACTAATGAACTTCAGAAGTCCCTTCTAATGTAAATATTCTATCCTTTTGGTACTTCAAAAGGCTGATGTGTAACATGGAATATATATCTGTTAAATTCAGAGTTTAATAGAAACAAAAATGCTTAATTGTGGATATAAATTAGCATGTGCCTATGCTGCAACTTCAATTCTTTGCAAACAAAAAAAGCCTCTTTCCCATCCTGTTTCAGGTTTAAATACAACATGGTTTACAAATCTTGAAAAAGCGAAGAATGAGCCCACCTTATGCTGAGTAGAGGGTAGATGTTCATTCTTTTATGCTGTGAAATCCCACAGTTAAGAAAAAAACAAAGGGTATTTATCTTAAACGTGATACTGTTTCTTTGCAAGGGTCAACACTAAATCCTGTACTTACCCTCATATTAGGGAAGGATTCACTCTTTTAGCAATTTTGCATGAACTTAGGACCAGAGAAATTGTATGTCATTTTCCTCACTGATGGGAACAAGGAGCAGCGGTGATGTTACTCTTCCGTGAAGTCTGCGAGCCCTCTTCTTGAGATTACAAGCCTGTCAGGCTAGAATGTTGTTTGTTCTTCACTGTTGTATTGAAGAAATATCATGTGGGGTTTTTTGTATGTTGGATGTTTTCTAATCCTTTTATGAAGAGGGAGTATCTACTGTTACGGGTGTGAGTTCTCAGCCAGTAGAGTATGTGTTGCTCATTCAGGTCGTCACAGGAGGTGTGTCACATTGATGCTATGGGGATTTAGTCATGCTTGGAATTTTCTAAATGCTTTAAAGTGATTTGCAGTGTATAATAATAACTGTGTTTATTCCTTTACACAGATAATAGAGAGTTTCTCCAGGTTTTGTCAAGCTATGGCTTACAGACAACTACTTTGATAAGTAAAACTGATGGCACTGATGGCAAGGCTGAACACCTAGAGTATATCGCCTTTGCATTGGTTCCTGTTTTCTTCATCATGGGTCTCTTGGGGATCCTCATCTGTCATGTCCTTAAAAAAAAAGGATATCGTTGTACAACAGAAGCTGAACAAGTAGAAGAAGAAAATCTTGATGAAAAAATAGGTAAGCAACAAGTCTAATAAACAACTTCTTATTTCTCTACATTGCAACTACTATGGAATAATTTATTATGAGACTTCTGACATTTCTCTGTCCATATTAGACATCAAAACAATATTAAGAAAATATTTTAATTACGATTATATGTGTTGGGTTTTGATTTCTGCCAGTCAAAACTGAGAGTGTTCCAGTTTCCCATGCAAGTCCTCTAACTTCAATTAAGAGCTTACAGAGGGATCAAAGTATCGAGTATATTTGTTTGCAACTATACACTGCAATCAAAGTCACCAGACTGCTTTTCTGCATTCCACACACTGTTAGCAACAAAGTATTATTATGCATCATTCTATCTGAGGAGTGACAAAAAGCTGCTTTGTGAAGCATAAAACTCTTAGTTTTATGTTTAGCAATCTTAATTTGTTCCTGTTGTGCTGTCATTCTCATCTCCCCTCTCGTTATAAAACTGAGCCTTTGGACTGACTGTCTACATTCTGTTTCATGTAATGTGTACTGATTATAACTTTTTCTTAGGTACCCTTAGTTTTGTTCTGATGTCTCTTCATTTTGTGAGCATTGTTCTTGTTTTTATGGTTCCTTATTCCCATTTTCTCTTACTTGAGGGGAGGGGGAGGGAAAGGAAAAGAGTGTTATCACTTGGGAAGGGCTGTGGTAATCCAGTGTAGCATTTGGCTAAGTAAATACAAGGGCCCAGTCACTTGTAAATCCTTTATACCTCTTCTTTTCTCCGAGTTAATTACTGTCAGTAGGTTCATATAAGTGCAAATGACAGTGGCTCTGTGGGTGAGGGTAGAGCCAGTGCTGCAGTAATGATGTGTCAGTGTGTTCTTAAGCAATTACTGCCTGGGGCAGGTACGCAGGTGAGTGGGACTATCTGATCTGTTAGTTCACCTGAGTAGTAACAGCAAAGTGAGTGGTAATGAACGCTCTTAATTTGGGATAGTGGTTGTGTCTGAGTTAAAACTGCGAAGTTGTAGGTATTAGGATGAAGATGAGGGGTGGGTACAGACATGGGGAAGCCCCTACTGTACTACTTAGAGACAAATTTAGGGTCTCACCTATCAAACTTGTCTCAGTCCTGTGATTTCTTTTTTTATTTTTTTTTCTTTGTAAATCTAGTCATAACAATTATTAGGGAAGGGCAGAGCTGTGCCTCTTAGTTGTTCTGTTTCTCTCCCCAGTCATTCTCTGTCTTCTGAGATTATTCCGTAGAAGCTTCCAGTATTGTTAATGGGTGCAGTCAATTCCAAAAGTATTAAGTATAGTAACGAGATTTATTTCTTAAATCCCTTGGTCCTGTACTCGTATGAGGTTTTTTTTTTAATTAACAAAATCAAATGTTATGTCCTTGTAGTTGTGGTGAAAAACTTAAACTGAATCTCTCTTCTACTAGAAGCCAATAATACCTATTTTAAAGTAGTGACTTGAGACAGTTTAATGATTTTGTTTGTTTGTTTTTTCTCTCCCTATAGTTAGGATTAGAAATACTGCTCTCTTGTTTGTCTCCTTATGAGCTAGAGAAGGGATTTTGACATATGCTTGTGAAAATACTGAGTTTATTCAAGTCTTAGATGAATATGTTAGAACAGATGTGCAGATTCCATAAACTTGTGTTTATATTTTCTCCTAGGTAAGGACTCAAAAGTCTCATCTCATCCATGAGCTCATCTCTCCAAAGTGACAATAGATCTTGTCTTTTTTTTTTTTTTTTCTTTTTGTAACTTTTTCTGGGGGAAGAGTGTTTTGTTTTGGCTTTGTTTTTCTTGTTTTTACTTTTTTTAAAAATAAATCAATTCATGATTTGGAAGGTTGAGATATTGACAACATATTTATTTCCTTGTACAGAAATGAATGAAACTCTACATGAGAACAGTGACACAGTGGGACAAATTGTCAACTACATTATGAAAAATGAAGGTATAGTATTGTGATATTGAAGTTATGAGCCTTTGTGATGGTGTTCTGTAACAAATATGTTTTTTCAGATATTCTGAACTATAGTGTGTTCATGTGCTTTCATTTAATAACCATTTTGTACATGCTGAACTCTCTGAGATTGCCTTCAGAAAGCAGTAACTTAAAACAGGAAAGTTTTTAGCTCAGCTGAAAATTATTTTGTATATTATGTTTGGTTCATGCATTTGTTGATATTTTAACTATTAGGATGTTTGATTTTTTTGTTAAACTTTTTGTTTTGTTTGTGAAATAAAAGCTAGAGGTTACTTCCTTAATGGCAGTGTTTAAAGCACGTGAAGTATTTTTTGTTTTGACCAGATTAAATTTGTTGTCTTAAAACAATTTCTGCAGCTGTTATCTGGTGAAAGGTTTGTGCACAGTTGAGGCAATAGGGAGACTGGTGCTATTGTTGAGTTTTGAACATGGTCTCTTCATGTGCTGTGTGTGCAAAGTAAAGGATAAAGAAGATATGACTGAAAAAATAGAATCACACTGAAGTAGCCCATGGAATAGTTGGTTAGTTCAGAACATACTTGTCCAGTAGAAGAAACATTTAAGAGACTGTATATTTTTGTAGTATGTAAAAGAACCTTTAGCCTTTTAATTTTACAATTCTATAAATCGAAGTTCTCCTGAGCATTGAACTTGCTTTGAGTTACTTCTGAATGAAGACTAATCCTCTGGAAAAGCTATATTTTGGGGTTGGATTTGTTGTGGTTGGGGGAGTTGCCTTAATAACTGTTCAGGCTTTGAGCTTGTGGATTTTTCCTCGAGGCTGAGATTAGGTACCCCATGTGAGTTTTTTAAAATATCTGAGCAATCAGTAGTTCTTGGCTGATAATTAATTTGCATTTTGTAAGGCTCAGTTAAACTGTGTTTTTCATCTTAAGTTGCTTTATACATTGTGAGGTGGTGATACTCCTGTGGTCAAATGGGTGTTTTAATATTTTCAGAGATCTTGTTTGGGAGTGTTGTGCAGATGACTACATTGTATGGTTTGCATTGGGGCAGAGCTTTGATTGCAAAATGAACTGTAATTTTAGTAGCTCATGTTAACAAAATCCCATAGAATTATATTAACATTTTTTTGCATGATTTTCTCTCATGCCTTTTTGGAGGTATACATAATACATTCGTCTTTCTTTTAGATTAAATTTCTTTGAGGACCTTTAATTTTGTTGTTTGTTTTTTCTGAAGTTAGAGCTGTACACTTTTGAAGAATTCTGTTTATTCTCATTGCAGCAAATGCTGATGTGTTAAAGGCCATGGTAGCAGATAGCAGTGTCTTCGAACCTGAAAGGTAATTACTGATTTTTTTTAATGCACGTTTCCTGAGGCAACTAAAAATGTACCCTTTCAAAGGGTTTTATTTCCTGAGTTGTTAGCTAAGAGGATAATACTTTTATTTCCTTCTGGTGTCTCTGAGTCACTAAATTTTAATGTATGCCCTGGGTTAGTAACTGGCTCTTCTGGTTATATGTTCTAGGTGTGTAACACAGATTTATTGCTTTTTGGGATAAAGATCTACGGAGACTTCAAAAACTTATTTACTTTAGGGTAAAATTACTTAAAAGCTGACTTAGTCCAAAGCTACTCTGACTTGAAAGAACAGAAGCAGCACTTGTTTCATTTGTATGGACTGAAATAGACATCTTTCTGTATCTCTTTCTGGTTTACTTCTTTCTTTATAATTGTGGCTGACCTTCCTCTTTTTTTTCACTACATACCTGTTTAGAGAATTATGTAGAGAAAGTAGTTCAGCCTTGAGCTGCAGATGCTTCATTTGTGTTAAAGTAATTACATCTGTACATAAGTACCTTTAAACTACTTCTTTACTTCTCTAAATACTCTTCATATGTAATCCTGTGTTATGTTCAAGGCAGAGAAGATGAAGGTTCAAGTAGTACTGTGTCACTAGAGAAGAAGTGAGAGTGTGTAGTTTTAGCAAAACAAATAATTGAGTATGCAACTGCTTATATCCTGTTTTAACAGTGAGAGGCTTGGTTATTGAATTCCTTTTGTAAGTTGAATTTTTTTTTTCCTCTCAAGTACAGGGGTTTTTTAAAAACTTTTATGGTGCAGCAGAAATATTTGTTTGAATTTCAACTCAGTCTTTTTGTGTAAGGATGTGTGATGTTATTTTGGGAGTTTTAGACTATTGTTTCAGTGAGGAATTAATATACAAAAAGTAATAGGAAGGAGAAGAATTATTGTTTTCTCTTACATAATTTCTGACAGAGACTCCTAAAGCTTTAGTAACTCAAGTGCAAATCCATTGTATTTCTTTGTAGGTTTGGTGTGCTATGAAATGCTTCCTAACAATAGGAACAGTAAGGGCCAAGTAAAATCTGCATTTGTACCACTTAAAGCCATTAGTTCCTATCTTTGCTTCAGATGTTGAACAGATTTTATTTCTCATATAACATTCTCTGTTTATTTGAAGACCATTAAATGTCTCCTGTCAATATTTTTGTTTTGAAAAGAAGCACCCAAGTAACTCCAGTCTCTTAACGGCATGTTTTATTTCTTTAATTTGTTCTTTCTGTTCTCCTTTAGAGTCTCTTCAGTTTGTTAGTATTTTTCTTGAAATAATATTTTTACAACTGGATGCAACGTTCAGCTGAGGCATGATTAATGCCGAGTAATCTAATTTTAGGTTCACAGGTTATATTCCTGTTACTTCTGCTGTGAAAAGTGTCCTTTTTAAGCAACAATTTCATAAAGATTCATGTTCAGCTTGTGATCTTCACCTTTTCCTGAAGAGTGATCCTCTGGCTAATTGCTTTTTAATATGGGTTTGCAATTTTTTTCTGCTAAAGCACTGAAATATGTGTTGTCCTTACTGCAATACATCCAGTATTTTTAATCAGCTTTATTTATGTGTGAATGTGTCTTTCACATACATGCTCTCCTCTGATGATCTGAATTTCTCATCTTGTCCTCTACAGCTGCTATGGGTGACTGAAAGTTTATGGGTACTTTAGCTATTCTTCTATTCCATTTCCCAAGGAACTGTTTAAAACTTAATATCATCAGGACCAGAATAACCACATTTAGTATGTCTTTCCAGTTTCATAGTAAGCTACTGGTATATAAATTTCTGGTATGTCTCTTTCTTTTTTTTCTTTTTTTAAAAAAAAACCAACCCAAGATGCGCTACCTTATGCTACAGTAATTTCGCCTTTTATGCACTGAGCTCTAGCTTGCTTGAGGAGAACGTCTTGCAGGAGTGTCAAAATGGATGCTGAAGTCTGAAAAAGTGTATCTTCTTTTACCTGATTAGATATTCTCCATAAATGCCTTTTCATGGTTGTACTGCTTTTACTTTCTTTCTAGGTACTTTTAAAAAGTGTTTTTCTGAAGCTTAAGCTGGATGATCTTTTCCTTTTCTCTTCATGGTAGACATTTTAGTTTTACCTCTTTGCACTATTGTGGGACTGTGCTCTTCTTCTGTGTGTTCTTAAAGATACTGTAACAATTCTGAAATATTTTCAATAGTTCTCCAAGTGTGAATTTGATCAGCTAATTAGATGTCTTAATTACTGTAAGTCCCTGTAACCTGTTCTCTTCTATTTTAGGCTGATACATATTTTTTTTTTCATTTCCTTGCCTTTTGTGTGAGTTACCTTAACCACATGCAGACTGCAGCTGAATTAATTTATGGAAGTGATTTTAACTGCAAAAATATGATATTGGAAGAAACCTTAAACCAGACAACTTCACAAATAAACGGTCCCTGAAAATAACAGTTATTCACTAGACATAACTGAAGGTTATATTTTATCCTTTTTTCCTTTTTAAGAAACAGGATTTTATAGTAAGCATTAAATTTCTTTCATACTTTTTCCTACAGCCCTTTATCTCCTGCCTCTCCTGGGAGTCCAGTGAGTCCAGGGTCTCCTTTGTCACCTGGTGCTATTCCATTTAAACACAGCTGCAAAGGCCATCACTTCCATACTGTTGGAGGAGTAGTAGAAAAGGATGTTTGTACTCGTTGTAGCCACAAACGATGGCACCTTATAAAGCCAGCTCACAAATCTAAAGAACACAGAAGAAGTCGTCTTGGAGAAGTTACAGTCCTTTCTGTGGGAAGGTGAGCCTTAAGGTCATTTTATTGTATATTTTTCCAAAGGACATTACAGTGGCCCATGCTGGATCATTGATTCTACTCTGTTTATAGAATCAGTGATTGTTCTTTGTAACCCTGTTAATATTAGATTGAAGTTATTTCTCTAAGTAAATTGATTTTTTTTATTATTATTATTTTTACAACTATGTCAATAGATGGGGATTTGCTGTGGGCATAAATCCAAAGATATTGCTCTATTGATACTGGCTAAGAGGAAACAAGGATAGAATACTAATAAATTCCTCTGTTTCTGAATTTGCTTCTTCTCAAGTGTGAGCTATAGAAACCACTTCATTCCGCTTTGTTATTTTTTAATTCCTAGCTTACTTTGTAGTTGTCTTAGAAAATTACACTTCTCAGAAGTAGTATGCAGTCTGTGGATTCTGCTTGAAAACACAGTTCCCTGAGAAAGTGTGTTTCGGCAGTAATGAGTATTAAATGTACATGTAGGTAATAGGAAGGAAGATTGCTCTGAAGTGAAGCTGGTCCATGTGGGTGTCTGCTGTGATGTCTAGGTCTTGGGACTGGGCACTGAGAATGATCTAACTAATCTCTGGGGAAATACAACTGAATCTTTCTTTTGCTTACCTTAGATTTAGAGTCACAAAAGTGGAGCACAAATCAAATTCCAAAGAACGGAAAAGCTTGATGTCCGTTAGTGGTGTGGAGAGTGTCAATGGTGATATGCCTGCCACGCCTGCCAAACAGGAGACGAGCGAAGCACCTGCCACGCCTGTGAAACAGGAGGTGCAAGAGAGGAGAAGCTCAGAGTAAACTGCAGGTATCAAACATTGGGAACTAGTATTGAAAGTGGTATGTTGTGAAATAAGTGAAGGTAATAGGTAAAGAGAAAGAAGTTGAAAATGTATCAATTATGCGTGAAAACTCATCTTTCAATTTCAAAACTTTCTACAGAAGTCTGCAAAAATTATATTTAATCACTCAATTAATGATAAATTGGTAAAGGCTGAATTATCCACCAAATTATTTTCTTAATTGTTTATTTAGACTTTTTAGAGTAGATCTTAAAATAAAACTTACTTTGTGGACGTGGCATCACTGATCCAAGAAATAAAACATCTGCATATTAATTTTTATCAATAAATGATGGTTCAGATTTAATGGCAATATGCTTATTGCCCAAAAGAAGCAAACACTGCTGACAGCTGTGTCACTGGAATTACTACAGTGCTGCTTTGTTGTGCTTGCTGCCCTGTGCTGTGTGCTTGGATGAGGTGACTGCTTACTAGATACTTCTCTGATACATCACTGGAGCTTTGGCTAATAAGAACGGAGACATGTGAAAACAGTCATATTTTGGGGATCTATGGTAGGTTACTAAGCCAAGAGGTTGAGGTTTTCTTGTGAGGCATTAAATGTCAGTGAACTGCTTGAGGTACCCCATTAAGTATGTCAGAAACGTGTCTGGCATGGTTTTGGAATGCACCCCTGACTTTTTTTTTTTTTTTTTTTTTTTTTAATTAAAAATGTTGGGGGGAAAAGCCCTTTAAGTTAATATGCTTTGCTTCTAACTGTTAACACACTGATTGGTAAGCTGAAGGGGAAAGGTGATTTTACACAAATGTGATTCAAAATACAGAGCTTGACCCTTGGGGAAGAAAGGGGTTCTGGGGTGACAAAATAAAGAATTTGAAGAACGAGAACAAAGTGCACAGTGCCAGACTCTGTTTGCTCAGAGGATAAAGTCATGTTGTGTCAACTCAGTCCAGTTTCAAACTCTCAGTAACCTCAAATATAGGAGGAAAATGCACTAGTGGAAATTGGGTATGTTTAAAAATGTAACAAGACCCAAAACCCTTTGAGTGTCTTGAGGTTAAATTCTGAAGGGCCAAGGTGCAAGATGTGACCTTTTCTTTATATCCGTTGTTTATTCATTAAGAAAACATTCTCTAATTGTATCAGTTTAGAAAGGAAGACAAAGTAAAGAGCTGGAGTGCAATGGGATACTTCCTCTACCTGCCTTCACTGGCAGCACAGGTATAGCTGTTAAACTAAGCAGAGTGTATTTGTCTGGACTCTGTGCCTCATCTTTAAATTATACACAATTTTTTGGAACCATTGCCATAGAGGAAGAAAGACTTGGAGATATGGTATGCTTCCAAATGTTTAAAAAGCTGTGGAGGTTAATGAAGTAAATTGTTCTTTTTGCTCAGTGGGTAAGAACTTAAATGTAGGCTAATTTGTAAGGAGGTAATGTTCAAGTTTCAAAAGTTTAGAAGCTAGAATAAGCCGTGGTATCTTCATTGCCAGAGATTTGCAAGACCAGACTGGACAAATGCTTGTCAAAGCCAGTGTAAATACAGCTGGCCCTGCCTTGGAGGTACGTGATAGACTGTAAGGATGGTTGGGGTTTTTTTGTTTTGCTTTTTGTTCTGTGGCAAGTTTTGGCAAATCATAGCTTTCTAGTGGCTGCTGATTCATTGCTGCTCTGTGAAGGATCTACAGATGTCAGTGAAAGACAAACTTTACTCTTATTCTGTGATTTAGAATTACATCCTGGTGCTCAGGTTTTCTTTGTTGATATGTATTGTTGGTTTTTTCCTTTCTTCCCTTTTAAAAAAATCAATATTGGTTAAATGTGATAGGAGATAACCTCTTCCTTCACTGGCTGCACTGGCATTTTCATGCCCAGCTAATTGTTTTGTTATTTCTGTGACTGTTGGTTTGTTGTTTTGTTTTTTTTTTCCCCGTATCTCCAATGGTAGCATGGTCAGACTGTTCATAATATGATTTTGAACTTGAAGACAGACTAGTTATCTTCTCTTTAAATATTATTAATAGAAAGGGCATATATGAAAATAAAGTTATTTCCAGTGCACTTGGATTAAAAAAAAAAAGAAAAGGAAAAAAAAAATCTTGAAATAACTCTAAAATGCTTTGTAGTCCAGTTTTCTTTCTAATTTGTTCTTTCCTCTCCTAAATAAGAAAGCTGTTCCCAGTAGTTACCTAAAAGTTGTTCTCTAAATTTAAACCATTACTACTTTAATCTAAAAATAAGCTGTTCTCTAGAGAGATATGATAGTATAGCTATAAAAAATTTATATGTCCATTTATGGCAGCTTTTTATTGAAGAACCTCCCTTGTGATTAAAGTATTGCCCTTTCAAATGTTCTAATAGCAGAGAAATGGCTCTTGTAAAGGTCTCTCCAGTCCAGCAGAACTATTTTGTAAATTATCTGGGAAAGTAGCTAGGCCTGTTTGATGTGCACTACAAAAAATAAACAGATCTTGCTTCAAAGGCTATGATACTATTCCCTAGCGTGGCTGTAGAGCAGTTTTTGTGCACTGCTGTGAAAAGCTGTTCACATATAAACAGGTAGTAGTTAGATCTTTACTTCAATTACGTATTTCAGACTTCTAATAAATTATTATAGCTTAATTTACTGAAACTGGACAGATACGCAGCATTTAAGACTTCTGTGCCTCCAGCCAATAAATTTATGATAAAAAGCTTATAGTTTTGGAGAGTTTGGCTCAGATCTTCAGATGCAGAGGAAGAAGGCAGACACAAATGAGTGTTTAACTGCTGCTAGGAAAGATTTGTTCTGGTGTTTAGAGGCTTTGTGCTTTGTGGCCTGACCTTAACCACTGTTACTGGGAGCTCCTGTATGAGATGGAATTCCTGAGTTCGGCAGTACCTGAATGAAGTAATATTGCTGGTTGCTTGTGTTCGCTGCTACTCTTGAGTTCATGTTTTTTTTTCCTCCTAAACTGACATGTTCTTAGTATTTTCTTGAAGCAGTCTCTACAGTGTTTCAGCTTATCCTAGAATCTTGCTGGCTGCGTCATTAGAAGTTGTAGCATGCCTTCTCCGTGTCTCCGAGGTCCATGTTCTCAGCAGACTCCATCAGTTAAGTTTATTAATATGCTTAGTGGCACATAAAAAAGTAGTAGATACACAGCTGATAGCTGAAGTCAAAATTTTGTGTTGAGCTTTTGCACATCCATTGTAAGCTACTGGGTAAATAAAAGCTTAAGGTACTGGTGCACCGAGGCTACGTAACATTTTCCATTCCTAGTATCCTTTTAAAAGTTGTGTGTGCTTTGCACTGTGATATGATTTGTCAGTTTGTTCATGTGTTTGTCCATCCTTTCATGAGTAACAGCTGAATTTTTAGTTCCCCTCCTTTAGGATTTCACATGCACGGCAACCACTTCATATGATTGTGGCATTTTTTTCCATTTCAGAGCATCTGCTAACTTTTTAATTGGCCTGTTCCTCCTAAAACTAATTTTGCTATTTAGGCTTATTTTTAGAATTGTTTTCTTCTCTTGCAGGTGGAACTTTTAGAAGAAACACGTCTGCAAGCACTTTGGAGAAAACTGAAAACTCCCAAGAGATGCATACTATTTAAGGAAATGTATTTATGGCACTGTAGCATTTTACAAGCTCTGTGGTGGCATCCATGCAAGGTTAAACACTTAATGGTTTTTCACCAGTAAAATCAGCAAGATTTAGACACATACTGCTGAGCTGTGTGGACCTCATACCAAATGTTTGGCTTCATCTTGGAAAACAAACAAAAAATTACAAGTTTTTGGACAGGAAACATAAAAGCCTTATCAAATAACTTTTTTTTTTTTTTTTACTTAGACAAGTATTTTTAATGAGCTCAATATTACAAGTAATATGATTACCCTATGGATAAACTGTGTTCACCCCTCTAGTCCATCTGGATATTTCTCCTCTGTTCTTCTCTTCTAGAATTGCCAAGTGTTTGCCGAAGATAAAAGCCAGCCTTTGGAAGATGAAAATACTCTTTTAATCTAACTGTTAGCAGCCAAGCAAAACATACAAGGAAATAATTATGTCAGGCAAAATCTGCATGTGTGCCTTTAGTATATAAGCTCACAGACTCTGTAAAGGGTACTTCAGAGTACTGAGTGGTTCAGTTATGTGCAGATATTACATTAAATGGTTGTCTTTCCCTCCTTAATTCCCCTTACTACTTAACATTAGGCTAAAGAGCATATTTTTCTGTGCAGTTAGGTGAGCTTTTGAGAAGGTCACTTTCCTCAAGGCCAGTTGTTCTCCTATTTTCTTGTAACTACTCGTATTTGAAGAATGGGTAATAGTTTTACCTTTCTCTTTTGTTTTTACTCACATGTTCCTTATTAAGCTAAGGCAACGTATTTCAACCATTAGATAAGGATATGGAATACTTGTCTTTAAAAATTTATGGAGTATATACTAAAGTACTTCAGAGTGGCTTTATTGGACTGAGGGTAGCAGTTTTCATTGGCTCCAAAATCTTAAGCCACTGTCACTCCCTTAATTTTTTTAGTCTGACTTACTGCTAAAAATAGCAGTGATGGTTTTGTGATATTAATTCTTTCTGTCTACTTATCATGGTCTCTGCTTTGTCCTGTTACTTGTTTTTGGGAGGGAAATCTTTGCAATACTTCAGCAAACTTTGCTGTGTAATAGAAACTGAAAAATAACATTTGTTCCAAGTGCCTAAGAATATAAGCTGCAATGTAATGCATTTTAGTAGAGTTTGCACTATATTCTGAAAATGATAAAGTAACTTAATCTGCTTTATGAACTCAATGAAAATCAGCGTTTGTTTTGAATTCTATTTGTTTTAAATTAATACTTTCAATCCTTTTAGTCCATGTGTTCTAAACTGTTTCTCCTTCAGGAGAATCAGGTTTCTTCATCAATTTATGCAGTGTTAACAATCAATGTGTACAAAGACAAAAATGAATTTTCTTGCTTATGTATTTGATACTTCCACATCTTGTCAGGAAAC